ACTTTGTGTGAGACACCTTACTGAGTATTTTACTTGCATTATTTATTTAATCCTCACAATGACCCAATGAAGTAAGCCCAATTATTACTTGCATTTTACTTGTGAAGAAACTGAGGCTTACAGATGTTAAGTAAGTTGCACAATAGGAGGGTTTTTTCCTCCAATTCAGTAGTGATTATTTAGATTTAGAAACTTTTTTTATGGTAACTCAAGTCCCTTTAGAACACTTTATAATTAGACAAATTGACTCTAGTGTCTGACAGTGGTTGATCAGGCTATGTCTCCTTTGATTCTTCTCAAACACATAGATTACTAGCACGTGGCACAGCTGAGATTTGAACCTGTGTATGCCTTTCCGATCTATCAGCCCATCACACTAGGCAGTCTCCTATTACTAAAACACAAAACATAATTAGGTAGAAGACAGGATGGTGGTTACTCAAAATGTTAAACAAAAAATTATCATATGATCCAGTAATTCCACTTCTAGGTATATAGCCAAAAGAACTGAAAACAGGTACTTGGACAGATATTTGTACACAAATTATTTATAGCAGCTTTACTCACAGTAATCAAAAGATGGGAACAACCAAATGTTCCCTAATGAACTAATGAAAAGGATAAACAAAATGTGGTACACACATACAATGGAATATTATTCAGCCTTAAAAAGGAAAGGAATCCTGATACCTTATAACATGGATGAACCTTAAAAACATTATGCTAAGTAAAATAAGCCAGGCACAAAAGAATGAATATTACATGATTCCACTCACATAAGGTAACTAGAGTAGTCAAATTTATAGAGACATAAAATAAAATTGTAGTTGCCAGGGACTGGTGGGGGAGGGTGGAAAGGGGAAGTTATTGTTTAATGAACACAGAGTTTCAGTTTGGGAAGATATAACAGTTCTGGAGATGGACAGTGGTGATGGTTGTGAAATATTATGAATAATGTCATAAATTGTACACTTAAAAAACAATTAAAATGGTAAATTTTGTTATATATATTTTATCACAATAAAAAAAGTAATTAGAACTTAGGTTTGCTCTAAAATATAAAAGCTGAAAACCACAAAACAAAATAGTCTAATTTGAGATCTAATTTGTAAAAGATAAATAAGCCAACCTATTCTATTTAACAGCACTATAAATCGTATACTTTGTTTTCACTAAAGACAAACATAAGTAACTAATAAAATGATTTGTTCAACATCAAACATCAGAGGGAACAATATGAAATACAAGTGCCAGGATGAATTCTAGCAAGAATAGCTTATGTCAAGAGACGTCCAATAATAATATCTTATCTTTCTCCTTAATTACCTTCAAAGTGAACAAAAACACTTTTCCATAAGAGAGAATTCTCTAAATTCTTACTTGAGAAAATTGGTTAAATTTTATTCTCATATATATATGTTGGGAATATTATACAATTTGAAGAAAATATTAAACATATTTTATCACATTGGGATTCTTTACAGCAATATTTTTAAAATAATTAAATTGGCTCATTTTTGTGCCCTAGATTCTGGCCCAATTTGATTATTTCTACAAAAATATGGATATAAAAAGTGACATAGGCATTACTGTTCTTTGATTAATCAGTGCTTCATTGTTTTGTTTTCTTGGTCAGAAACTTCACATTAATCAAGTAAATTTTTACTTTGTGCTCAATCCAGAGCTATGTAAGGAGCCAAATGAACTTTATGGGATTTTACTGAATTAAAACAAAAAGTCAATTCCCCAGAATGGCATACTTTTCCTCCCCCAAACTCAATGATCTTGTAAACAAATAAGTTAACATGGCAATGAATTACAGTCCCTTTGACAAACTTGTGCTCATCAGAGAATGTTATGATATAGGCAACTATTCATTCCCACTTTTGTCATTATTGGGACTTTGGACTTGTTTTTTCATGCGCTTGGACTATTCTTGTCATGTCATTGCATAGCTGGCTTCTGCTCATCTTTCAGGCTTCAGCTCAAATGTCACCTCCTTAGAAAGGCCAACCCCAACATCCCTATCTGAAGTAGCCTCCCCACCATTACTCTGTCACTTCATAAGGTCACTCAGAGTCACTTCCATGGTGGCACTTTAATGCAATCTGCAGTTATCTGGTTTATGTATTTGTTCGCTTAATTATTGTCTGCTATCCATCTTTAGAATTTAGAACATGGGCTCTACAATAACAGAGCAAGGACCATCTTGTTTCCTCCTCTAGTCCTTATGTCTGGCAGAGTGGCAGGCTCATAGTAGGTGGCCTTGGCCCTCTACCTTCTGGTGCCTTGCAATGGTGTGCACAAACAGACTCAGAGCCTAGCCCCTGAGGGATACAGACTTGCTATGATTATCTCTTCCCTTTATGGGTACTGCGTAGGCTCAGCTGCATGGTCTGGGACTAGACAACAAAAAGATCTGCCTGCTCCTTAATCCTAATTCTCTTCCAATTTAGTTTTCCCAGAGTTCCTTGAAGGTAGCTATAAAGTGCTACCTTATTTCCCAATTGTCATAATCCCTTGGGTGTGTAACTTTCTTGGGTACTTCATGAGAAGAATCAAGAAAGATTTAGGCATTTCTTTGTTTTCTCATCATGACACTATTCCAATACCTTCAGATGATACACATCCCTCGCAGATTTCAAGGATTAAACTAGCCTTGCTTTACCACTCTGTTCTCTGAAGACCAGCTTCATGCACAACATTAGCTCTGAATCCACAGGGAACACAATGAACCAAATAAATGAAAAGCAAGCCTTTTCATTTTAGAGATGGAAAAATCAAGTAACATCACTGGTCTCCAGATCTTTGCTTTTACTACTTGAAAATGTAAAGCAAGGTGACAAAAATAGCAATGGAAAAAAAAACAAAAAACAAATCCACAATGTTTTCTTAAGGTCCTTTTCCAGTTATGTAATTTCAGAGTTTTTATGTAGTATTTTGCACAGGTAGTAAGGATGGGCCTCTAAATTGATAGTGAATAGCTTGAAACAAGGCATCCTGATATCAGTCGTATATTTTGTTTTTAAAGGTGTCCCCATCCAAAGATTCAAAACTAAGATTATGCCTCCCTCTCCCACCCCTACCCACCCACCACCATAGCAAACATAGTTGTCCCAACCATGACAAATTGCTAATTTTTCCCTTTTTTTAGTAATACAACAAAACTCATTATTTTTAGATAGGTCATGGCTACCCAAGATAACAAACTAAATTTCCCAGTCTCCCTTGTAATTAGCTATGTGCATGTGAATGAAAGTGACAAGCTAGATCAAATCGTCAAAGAAATGAGCACAGCAACCCTACTTTTCTCCTACCCCACTGGCTGGAATTTAGAGGTGGTGGTGAGCCAGCTCGAGACCAGTTGAGAGATGGGAAGGGAAGGAGAAAAGCAAGCTGGCTGGGGTCAGAGTCCCTAACCCTTTGGAGCCAAATATCAGTTGGATTACGTATGCCTAGATCGTTACACGAGAAGGAAAAACATGGCCATTTGGCTTCAGCCACTGTTAACTGTAGTTTCGTTTCAGCAATCAAACTTACATTCTAATACAATAAACTTTCCTTGATTTAGAAGCTGTTTCAGAAGTTTGCAAAGTGGCTTTAGGATCTGAAAATGGTAAACTTTTTGAGTTGGAAGAAACCTCCAAATTACCATCATATCTCCTCACTTTATTGATGAGGAAATTGGGGATAGAGTAAATAAACTTCCTCAGCCTCACAGGTAACTGGTACCGTGTTTCTCCAAAAATAAGACCTACCCATAAAATAAGCCCTAAGCATTTGCACAATAGAAGCCCTACCCCGAAAATAAGACCTAGTGATGGGTGTGGCTATGCAGCGCACCTGCACAACCCATGCATTTTGTGCGGAGCGGTAAAGAAGACGAGCAGCCCTTCTCATCTGTCCCATGAGAGCTCTACCGCTCAACATGAGAGATCGGGGCCAATGGTTCTAAAGGAAATAGAGTCGCAAGAAATTCAGGATGGAATTCGGGGTTTGGAGAGTTATGATGATGTTCCAGAAGAAGACGGCTTACCTATATTTGAATAAATGTAGATTATTATACCGTACTTAAAAAAAATAACACATCCCCTGAAAATAAGCCCTAGGGTGTCTTCTTGAGGAAAAATAAATATAAGACCCTGTCTTATTTTCAGAGAAACATGGTAGTAGGACTGGTGTGAGATCTCCTGAATTTCAGTTCATTCTTTTCCTTCGAGGTCCAATTAGCAGAGCTCTCTGGAAATTACTGCGCCTCTCTCTCAGAGGCGGATAACTTGCTACCTGAGACCTGCAGCCTCCTTTTTCCCAGAGAGCCTATAAACAGCTGCCGCCTGTAACACCAACCAGGCTGCTCACACTCCCGCCACAGGAAGCTCGCCTGGGGAGGGCACGCCAAGTCTGTCATGCCTCAGTGGGGGGTGATGGGAGATTCAGGGGACTCATGCTTTGATTTCTTATCTTGCTGAGTCTGGCCTTGAAAGTTTCCCTTTTCTTCAACAAAAAAAAAAAAAAAAAAACCAATTCTTTTTCCTAGGACCCAGCATTGTGAAATCTGTCTAGGATGCAGAAACACGGAAGTGAGAATTCTGAAGGCACCTTTCACAGCTCCATCCTATAATATTATGAGTACTGATGATCATTCACATGCATTTTCATAATATGAGAAATGTCTATAACAAATAGCAACAGGGGTAACTTCAGCTGTCCAAGGAACAGCACAAAGGACACACAAATCATTTAACTATCCACCATGCGCCCAACCACAGCTCCCTTTGGATAAATGAGGACATTGGTACAGTGGAGATTACGAAAGCTGCCAAAGGCGCCAGAGAAAGTGGAAGGTAAAATCCAGCTATTAACATGCAAGGTTCAGGCTTACCCTTGCCTTAAAGGCCCTACAGACCACGCTTGCACTTTACTTATGAAAGTAGGAGCTTCCTTATATTTAAATTTTGAAAAATTCTATTTTTCATATGTCACCATCCCACATTCCTTACCATCCTCATTTTCATCAAATGCTGGTGGTTTGCTTGAAGTGTTGGCTCCCATGATCAAGTCTGCGTAGACCTGGATCCTCCAGTTACATTCTCCTGGCAGAAACATTCATCTTCCCCCAGAGCAGGGCACGAAGCCTTAGCTGGATATCTAGGAAAGAAAAAGAAATGGAATCCTAATAAGATGGTGTAGTCCAGGCACCCTGAGTACAGACTATGGCCAAAATATTAACCTAATCTGTATCACTGCAGTGGGAACTTTTGTGCTTGAAAAGATGATTTTGGAAATAAAACATGAGGCAACAAGAGAGCACTTTAAATGCTTCATCAGTAGCAGACTTGGACTTACAACGTAGGAGGAAAGCAAAATATTTTTCAAAGTTTAAAGAAAAGTTTAAAATGAGGTTAGCAAAGCTTTATTTAATAACTATAAAATAAAATAAGATTTTATTGTAAATCTGTATTTTTGAGAAAATGTACTAATTTTAAACTTTCTTTTCTTGTGTGTGACCAGCAACAACTCTAACTTTTTTTAGTCAGAAAGATATATTTGCTATTCCTTTCCCCCACCCTGGAAGGTACTACACTGTAAAAGGTGCTGGTTCTGTTTTGAGCCAGCAAATTGCTAAATTTCTCTAAACACGTTTCTCTTGGATCTTCCTCTAAACCTGGAGAGTTGAATGTGATATACATACATTAACTCTTTATATATTAACTTAAATGTATGATACACATTAATGTATGTGTATGACCCTTTATGTTATATTTATGTATATATCATATTTATGTACATACGTGATCTAACTCTATTGAGATACACAAATATATGATATACATATAGTTAATGTAATACACAAAGTATTTTCACAGCTTAAGTGCTCAATATTTGTTGGCCAATCTGAAACTCAAATTACATGATGCATCTGAAAGATAAAAAACTCTGAAAAAAGTATACTTATGGCTTTGTTCCATTTTCAAACATAATAGCAAAGAATCTACCTTCTCTGAAGTTGGTAAGACCCTAGATCCCGGGGTCTGGTCCTGAAACTGACACTGATAATGGCTTTGGTCCAGTTAATTAACCTCTCCCCTCTAGAATGGGGGAAATAACAATGCCTACCTCAGGAGTCACAAGTCTGGATGCCTATAAAAGCCAGGCGGGTGATGCAAAGGAGTGAACCAGACCAGGTATATGACATCAGGGTATTGGGAGGACAACAGTGACACTAGCTTCATCTAAAAGAGATAATTGCTTTCAGATCGAACAGATTATTGCCAAGTGGAAGCATGGGCTTTGGGGACCAGATATTCAGATCTACCAAAAAAAAGGGGGTAAAGGCCAAGATTTTATACAAAATAATATTTTAAAATTCAACTCATTTATAGGACTTGAGAAAATTTCACGCTTGGGACAAATACGGCTCATGAATATAGTTATTGAGACAACATATGTAAGGCAATTAGCACAATTCCTGGTACATAACATGCAAAGAATGACTGTTAGATCCTGCTATTTTTTATAGTATCAGTATTTCCATACTGTATATATTTTTATAATTTTTTCATTTTTATTTATTTATTTTGTGAGACAGAGTCTCACTTTGTTGCCCCTGCTAGAGTGCCATGGCATTAGCCTAGCTCACAGCAACCTCAAACTCTTGGGCTCAAGGGATCCTCCTGCCTCAGCCTCCAGAGTAGCTGGGACTACAGGCATGTGCCACCATGCCCGGCTATTTTTTTCTATTTTTGATAGAGACAGGGGTCTCGCTCTTGCTCAGGCTGGTCTCGAACTCCTGAGCTTGAACTCCTGAGGATCCGCCTGCCTCGGCCTCCCAGAGTGCTAGGATTACAGGCGTGAGCCACTGCGACCAGCCTGATATATTTTTAAAAACAGTTGATACCTGTTAATGGATTTCCTCTTGGACTTTTTACACATGAAGGAGATATAGATTGCAGGCAGAATTGGGCGAAGTGTTAAGGGTGAGTTATTGAAAAAGCACTCTGGAAGCTCCTCAGCAAATGTAGAAGAAAAGCTCATTTCCCCATTAGGAAAATGTAAGTAAAGCCTTCATTTGGAAGGCAGACTCATTAAGGAAATGCTACTTTTCATACTAAAAGCCAACTGCTGGCAAAGTACCTTATGGATTTTAAAAAGAATCATTTAATGGAGAGCAAAGAAAGAGTCAGCAATTAGGAAGCAACTAATTAAATGGTATGGGAGAGGGGAGAGGGCAGGGGCAGGTGGTAACAGGTGGCTGAAGGAAGCTCAGTGGGATTATTGAGATCCAGGAAGATAGAACTCAACCTTCCCCCCAGTCTAAAAAGTCAAAAGGCGTTTAACTCCAGCAGACAAAGAAGTTAAGAAGCAGCAAGCGGGATGTCCTTTGTGTTTTATTGTGGGTTAGGAAGAAGCAAATGGGGTACTTTGTCTTTTATTATTGCACTTAAAATCCAGAACAAGGGGGGAGTAGTATAAGGACCAAGCCACTGATGGCACTGAGAGATAATTGGTCCCAAAGAGAACATTAATTTAGGAAACCACAATTGTTAACTGAAGACTGGGACTACATTCTCTCTTACTTTGTGCTTAAAACCTGAGTAAGTGTAGCTTTCACACCACACCCCAGTCCTGCCATTCTTATGTTTTTCTTCACACCTCAGGTTTTCTCAGGTAGCCTGACTTTCTGCAACATAAGATGTACCAAGCTCTGACCTTGCAAGTTGTCAAATCAGAAAGAGAAAGAGGAAGGGATATTATCACTGTTTTCTGCGTTTCAGAGTTCCATTCTGATGTGCAGACGATTTTGTTCACCACAGATCCAGTGATGTTTAGTGGGAAGAAAATATGCAAACAAGGAACTACTTTTGTGTTAAAGTCTGGGGAGGGCCAGGCAGATGGAATTATTGGGTGGTGACATAATACCTTCTCCACTGCCCCTAACATATACAATCCAGTTTAGAATTGTCTTTTTCATTCTCTCCTTCATGTGGATAACCAAATTAGATAACTTTTTTTCCATATCCAGAAAGAAATTAGCCTTTCTCTGGCAGGGAAATGGAGATGCATCCTTTCCAGTCTACCGAACAGATCCCTGTAGAGCTATAGGGACTCTCTTCTATCAAATTCCACACCTTTCCTGACCTCTAGGTACTAAGTCTATAGTGTTATCCAAGCATCATTTTGAGAAGACAGCCACTATCCATGGAAATGAAAATTCTAAACGTAGAAAATACAAAAGGAAGAGAAATTTGCCTTGCAGGAACACAGGCAGTTTTTAGAGTCTACCTGATCCCAGCCATTTATCAGATTATTAACTGGGGACTAGTTCCCTAATACCAATATTTCATCTTTGGCCTGTACTTTTGGGGATTGTCAACAGGCAAGCTTCTCTGAATAGCCCAGCCTCCCAAAGTGAGGAGGTGTCGTCTTCCAGGACTGGAGAACATGGGGTGTGATGCAAGGAAGTTGCAATTTCTGATAGAACTACTGAGACTATTTTGTTTGCATTTGAAAAACAGAACTTCTTCAATTGAAAAATATTTAGAAACACAGGAAAGAAAAAAGAAGGCATGAGAAACTCTCAAGTTAACAACACTCTCAGTTAACAATTGTTCACATTTCATCCGCTTTGCTTCACATTTTCCCATCATGTTAGGTATATATTTCCACCTTAACCCTGGTGCCACATTGATTCCTCTTTCACACTTCCCAAACATCCACCATCGTGAAACTCACGTATATTCTACAGTCTTCTTTCTACAATTTTGCAAACACGCCAAGCGTTTTAAATCAAGCACCTAAGTGGCACCACAGAGACGGAGATATTTTGCGCCTTGCTGTGCTCATTTACCATCATACTCCTGAGATCCAGGCGTAGGTGTGCTCATCTCTTCAGTTCTGATTTCAGCTTTTTAAGCGCTGCATAGCGGTCCACAGTGTGGATACAACGCATTTTATTTTTCTGCGTAAAAATGTTCAAATGCTTCATTCAGCCTTGGGGAGAGAAAAAAAAAAAATCTTTGCCGAGACGAAGCCAACCATCAACAGCAGTGTTAGCTTGTTTAGAAGCTGGATGGGAGTGTGCACTTACTTATCTCCACCCAGCAAATCTGCATCGAAGTCTGCCTTGTCTGGGCCTCCCGGGTCACCGCGAGGCTGGGGGCCAGGTGGGCACAAAATAGCTAGGTTGGCCCCAGCCCGCATCTAGTTGTGTGAGTTCTCTTGGCCGGCTGCTGCCTTTGTCTTATTTCTTCTTCCCTTTGTTAATATCCCAGCTTCCCAACAGTGCCCTTGGTATGCAGGTTTATTTAAAAAACAATCAAACAACAACAACAACAAAAAAAACCCACACCTAGACCACCACTCACCTAGTCCGGGTTCTTCCTTGCCTCCTCCCATGAGGCTCAGAATGCTGCTCTCGTGCCGGCGCGGGAGCGGACGGAACTCCGGAGCCGGGAGAGCGGGCGGGCGGCACCTGCGGGCGCGGGGAGCGCGGGCCGGGCGGGCGGCACCTGCGGCTGCCGAGGGGTCCGAGCGCCGCCGCCGCGCAGCTCCCGCGGGAGGGGCGGCGCCCGGGCCGGGCAGGGAGGCGGGAGCAGCGGGCGCTCTCCCTGGGAACGATCGGGCAGTCGCCGCGGAAGGGCGGGTCGTCTGGGGTCCGCTGGCGGCCGGCGGGGGCCGGGCCAGGGCCCGGGCGGGGCGGGGCGGGGCGGGAGGACAGCGCTGCGGGCGCGGCTCCCGGCGGGTGGCGGGGATCCCGCCGCGCCTGGGCCCGGCCCGGAGCCGCCGGGACGCGGAGCTCTCCCCAACTTCCCGGGCCGGGGCCGGGTTCCCCTGAAGTGACCTCCCGAGGACAGCCGGGCCGCGCCGCCGAGGTGGTGGGCGTGGAGGTGGCGGGGACGAGCGTGCAGCTCTCGCACCCGGCGAGGCGAGGTTTCCTTTGAGCCTTCCCGCGGGGGAGGGGGAGGGAGACCCTAGCAAGGTCTGGGGATTTTGCAGGTCCCAACGGGAAAGACTATTTAACGACGATAGCCTGGTAGATTTTTTTCTTTTTTTCTTTTTTTTTTCATTTTATTGCTGGGAGAACTGAGGCACACGAAGAGAAAATGCTTGCCCAGGGTAGCAAAACAGTGGAGAGAACCTTTCGTGGGCTCAGGTCTCCTGGCTGTGAGTCTCCAGTTTTTCTGCATCTGCTTGTGGAGCTGGCGGCGGGGACGGGGAGGGGGCACAGAGGTGAATGCAATCCCACTGGAAGTTTCTATGTTGTCTCCCTAGCAGCTCCCCGTACTGTCCTTTGTAATGATCAACATGATTGAAATAACTTCTTCTTCTTCTTCTTCTTCTTTTTTTTTTTTTTTTAGACAGAGTCTTGCTTTGTTGCCCAGGCTAGAGTGAGTGCCGTGGCGTCAGCCTAGCTCACAGCAACCTCACACTCCTGGGCTCAAGCAATCCTCCTGCCTCAGCCTCCCCAATAGCTGGGACTACAGGCATGCGCCACCATGCCCGGCTAATTTTTTTCTATATATATTAGTTGGCCAATTAATTTCTTTCTATTTATAGTAGAGACGGGGTGTCGCTCTTGCTCAGGCTGGTTTCGAACTCCTGACCTCGAGCAATCCGCCCTCCTCAGCCGGGAGCCACCGCGCCCAGCGACATAACTTCTTCTTGTTGGCCCTCTAACCCAAGTCGCAGGCACACCTAACTCTACGTTGAGTGGGCACACAGGTTGCTTAGGAAGCGGCGAAGTGGCCAGGGTGCAGGACAGAGGGCATGGGTCTAGCTAGCCTGGGGGTGGGCTGAGGACAGCTTCTATTCAGCTCCCCATTTCCCTGCCATGTGGAAATGCCAGCTCAGCGCTGCCAAATACTCAAGATTTTTAAAGAGAAGCTGAAAACAAGAGACTTTGTGTTAAGGCTTCCATTATTTTTAAACATTGACAAGTTTTTAAAATGTTGGAAACTCTGTTGGTCAAACAGAATGTGTCTGTGGGTGATGTTGTCTGCTTCAGACTCCCACTGTTCGATCTGTCTCCACGGAAAGTTCCACAAAGTGCGGGGACCGTACTGCCTTTGTTCACCCATTTTTGTTACCGGATCCCGCAATGGTGCCTGGTGTATCTTAAACATCTGCTGCATCGTTGAAGCATGGATGGTGTCCTTGCGGTCAATAGCCCCATAGTGTGTTCATTGATTGAATATTTCGGGATAATTCTATTGCCATCTAGCTATTTCCCTCTTCTTCCTCTCATCTGTAGTCATGGGCTACATTCTACCCTTATATTTTCATACTCGGAATAGCCTTTAACGCACACTAACCCACTTGTTCATTTTGCATTTAGAGTCTCCAAGAGGGATTTGCCCAAAGCTGTGCAGGGAGTTGGTGGCAGAGCTGGGCAGAAGCATGGCTGGTAGAGCATGGGTTACCTGCATGCTGCTGCTCTTCCTACCACCTTCTGTTGCCTGCTCTTCATGAAGACCCTGTCTGAGAGAGAAGTCATTGCTATAAATGAACGTTTAATGTGGAAATTGGGGCAAGAGGGCTCAAAACAACCAAGTTTAGGGGGAATAAATAGAATATTTAAGGAATTCATTTTGGGGAGAGGGTTTTCTTTTTAAGGCAAAAATCAGCCACCTAGCAAAAAAACACATTGTTTTTGTGTAACACCTGGTAGTTTACAAAACACTTCGATTATCTTCGAGGCATTGGAGATGCACTACAGATTTGTTGGGCCTGTACTAGTATCCTTTTTTCCCTCTGAGGAGATAATGATATTCACTTTATCACTAAGGAAACTGAAACCGTAAGAAAATGGTCTTAGACTGGAACCGAAGTCTATGGAAATCTCTTTATTTTATTTTCTTTTTTTCTTTTTTTTTTATTTCGGCATATTATGGGGGTACAGATTTTAAAGTTTCAATAAATGCCCTTCCCTCCCTCCCCCCACAAGTCTGAGTTTCCAGCATGTCCATCCCCCAGATGGTGCGCATCTCATTCATTATGTATGCATATACCCGCCTGGAAATCTCTTTAATTTGGTGTTGTTCTGGCTGGCAGAACAGTCAGACAGTCAGACATTCAGACAGTCTTGCATCCAAATGCCAGCTCCACCAATTATTATATCTGAGATGTTGGCCAAAGCACTTAAAGATCCTGCACCTCAGTTCTCCATTTTCAGTAAAGGCGACAGTAGTCATCCCCATTGGCTTTGACCGCAGGAGGATTAACTGAGGTTACATATATGATAATGGTCTAGCACTGTTCTAGGCAGTCTGGAGTTAAGAAACACTCAGAAACTGGCAGCTTTTAAGATGGTCATTTTAATAAGCAGGCTACCAGATTACGTGTAGCCCAATACTGCTTAGATCTGTTCCATACATCTTTCTTCTGTTGGCACAATCACTTTTGCTTAGAATAAAAGTAACTAGTCAGGCCGGGCGGTGGCTCACGCCTGTAATCCTAGTACTCTGGGAGGCCCAGGCGGGCGGATCGCTCGAGGTCAGGAGTTCGAAGCCAGCCTGAGATCCTGTCTCTACCAAAAATAGAAAAAATTAATTGACCAACTAAAAATATATATAAAAAATATTAGCCGGGCATGGTGGCGCATGCCTGTAGTCCCAGCTACTCGGGAGGCTGAGGCAGGAGGATTGCTTGAGCCCGGGAGTTTGAGGTTGCTGTGAGCTAGGCTGACGCCACGGCACTCGAGCTGGGGCAACAAAGTGAGACTCTGTCTCAAAAAAAAAAAAAAAAAAAAAAAAAGAGAGAGAGAAAAAATGAGAAAAAAAAAGTACTGATAGTCAGTCATTGTTCTTGTAAAGGCTTGGCACAGCATAGATTTTATAGAAAAACGTGACTTTTATTTATGCTCATGCAGGCTACCAAATGCAGACCTGTTTCAAAGAGCTGATTGTATTTTAATCTTTTTTTGTTGTTCAGTTGCTCATACTCTCCTGTTGGTATTCCTATCTCAAGCAGCTGTTGGGGAGACTCAGAGACTGCCGCAAGGTTGGTGCTTGGGCCGAGGCTACATACTTAGGACAGTCTCTGGAGCCCCCCAGTGGAGAGGAGAATGAAGTAAAGAGTAAACCAGCGAGGAAGGTTTGTCCACATAGATATACAGAATTTTTAAAAATTAAAAATCTAGATCATGGTGTGCAACACAAACTTTAAGAGCATGCAAACTCAACCATGTCATTCTTGGCTTATAACTGTGTGCTGAGTCCCACTGCATTTAGAATAGAGTGACGCTCTTTACTCCGGAAGACAAGGACTTACGCTGTCCACTCCCTGCTGCTCTGTCCAGTTTCATCTAAGACCAGAGTTCCCCGGCACCTCCACTCCGACCCACCCACCTTCTGCTCGTCACAGATCATAACAAGCTTGTCCCCACCCCAGGACCTTTGAATGGCTCTTCCTTATGCATGGACATGGTTCCTGATTCCTGCTCATTCAGCTGCCAGCTCACACTTCTCCTGCTCAGTGATTATCCCCTCGACCCCTTCTCTGAAGGTGTTTCCCCACTGCTTCCTCCCTTCTCCACTGCGTACCCTAATTTCTTCCATCTTGTCACTCATCATGAGCTGTAATCATTTTGCTTGTGTAACTTCTTTGCCGTGTCTTCCCTTGTTGGGTGCAGGTTTCACAGGGGCAAGAACAGCTGTCTTGTTCACCATTATATGTACAGCACTGAACCCAGTATTTGGCATGCAGAAGATGTTCGATAATTAAATAAGTGTTTATTTCCATCGTTCTTTTCGTTGAACAGTTGAGAAGGAAGATACAAAGAAGGCATATTATACTGCAAAACAGTAACCATGCACTAGCGAGGTAAACAGACCTTGACAGGGCTATGTTTAAAGGGTACAAAGACAAGGGAGAAATTATCGCTGTACCTGAGGATTTCGTGGTTTGGATAGAAGCATAAACCGCAGCCTGAGACTGACAGGTGCCTGGGTGGGAGCTTTTGCAAAACATGGGTTAGCTGTGCCTGAAGGAGCCAGCAGCCTCAGTAACAGCTGATCTGTGTCCCGGAGGATGAATGGAGGGTCACTAGGCACAGAGGAGGGCTGTCTGGAGAAAGGAGACATTAAAAAATGTAATATTGGGGGAGATTATAAAAGTTTAGTGTGATTTGGGTGTAGGGGGTGTAGTATAGACTGAGAGAGTGAGTATAGGGGAACCAAATGTACTAGGAAAAACAGGTTGAAGTATAAGCTTTAACCCTTTGCACTCGCTTGCTTTTTTCTCTTGCTGCTACTGATGCTAACCATGTCGAGTCACACTCGACATCCGAGTGCAAAGGGTTAAAGGTAATGGGAACCCCTTAAATGTGTTAGTAGGAAAATAGGCATATAGGGTTTTAGTAAGATTACTCTCCCCTCTTTATATAAAACAAAGCTGTATTTTATGTTGGTCTGATATGCAAGTTATTCTCAGTTATTAAAAAGATGAGATCTCTTTAAAAAAATGTTAAAATTCTCCTTAGCTATAAAATAAA